TTATAATACTTGGCTTTGTCTTCTTGAGCTGCCCTTTGAAATTTTCTATGTAGTTTTTTTAACTCCTCATTTCTTCCTTTGACTTTATATCTCTACACTGAAAAGAATGTTTCAGAGTCTCTTCTGACATCTATTTTGGTGTTTTACTTCTTTTTTTGTCTTCTTAGTGATCCTTTGCTTTCTTCCTATAGGATGTTCTTAATGTCATCCCATAACTCTTCTGGTCTTTGTTCATTAGTGTCCAGTGTATCGAATCTGTTACTGAAATCATCTCTAAATTCAGGTTAGATATGCCCAACGTCATATTTTGTCTGTTGTGGACTTGTTTTAAACTTTTTCAGCTTCAGCCTGAACGTGCATATAAGCAGTTAGTGGTCTGTTCTGCATTCCCCTGGCTTTATTTTGGCTGATGATACTAAGCTTTTTCACTGTCTTCTACCAGATGTTTGATTTCTGTGTGAGGTCCACGTATATAGTTGTCTTTTATGTTGTTTAAAAAAGCTATTTGCAGTGAATAAATTATTGGTCTTGCAAAATTCTGTCATGCAATCTCCAGCATCATTTCTATCACCAGACCATATTTTCCAACTACTGATCCTTCCTCTTTATATTCTAATCATTAGTAATTGTCAATACATCTTGATTTTATGTTTGATTAATTTCAGACAGAAGGAATTGGTAGAATTCTTCAATTTGCATTATCACTGGTTTTAGTGGTTGGTGCTTACATTGGAATAATACTGGTATTCATTGGTCTTCCTCATAGGGATATGAATATTATATCACAAACAGCATTGTACTACAAAATAGATCTTGAAATGTTCTTTTTGACGATGAATGCAATGCTATTTCTCTTTAGTTTGTCATACCCGGCATAGTAAACCATATGATTGTCAGATTCAAAATGGCCACTACCAGTCCATTTCAGCTTCCTAATACCTAGGATATTGATCTTTATGCATTCCATTTCTTTTTTGACAACTTCCAATTTCCTAGATTCATACTTTGTACATTCCATATTCTGATTTTTAATGGATGTTTGTAGCTCTTATCATTTTGGGTTGTGCCCCATCAACAAATGAAGTTACCAGAATCTTTATTCCATCCACCTCATCATGGTCAACTCTACTTTGGGCAGGCAGCTCTTTTCCAGTCATATTTTGAGTGCCTTCCAATCTAAGGGTCTCATCTTCTGGTACTATATATGACAGTATTCTGGTACTGTTCAAAATGTCTTCATTTTCTTACACAATGCCAGTCTTCTGCTTTATTTGTAGGTTTTCAGTGGCTCAATGTTGAAAAGTAGTCCACCTCTCCTTCTTCATAATCTGTCTTTGTCTGGAAGCTTAGTTGAAGTCTGTCCACCGTGGGTAACCCTGCTGGTATTTAAAATACTGGTGGCATAGCTTTCAGCATCACAGCAATATGTAAGCCACCACTGACAGGCAGAGTTGTGTGGGGTTAGGTGCATATGTATTTATAATTGTTATAGCTTCTTGATGAATTTACCCTTTTGTCATTATATAGTCATATTTGCGTCTTGTAAAAAATTTTAACTTTCATTTCAGCATAAAGGCTTTCATCTAACATTTCTTGTTGATTAGGTCTTGTGGTTGCATACTCTTACAGCTTTTGTTTATCTGGAGGTGTCTTAATTTTACTCTCATATCTTAAGGACATTTTTTTCCAGTTATAAAGCTTTTGGTTGAGAGTTCTTTTATCTTAGCATTTTAAATGTTTCATCCATCTTCCTTCTGGTCTCCATAGTTTCTGAGAAGAAATTGGCATTTATTCATGTTAGGATCCCTTGTATATGATGATTCACCTCTATTACTACTTTCAAGATTTTAAAATTATTATTATTACTTTTGAGTTAGGGCATTTGATTATAATATGTGTCAGTGTGACTCTCTTTGGATTTATCATACATGCTGTAGGATAAGCACTGAACTGCTAACCACAAGGTCAGTGGTTCAAACCTGCCAGATGCTCCTTGTAAATCCTATATAATGTCACTCTGATTCAGATTTGACTTGATAGCACTTTAAACAGCAACAACAAAGCTTTTTGAGCTTCTTTTATATGTAGATTCATGTCTTTCATCAAATTTGAGACTTTTTGTCTATTATCTCTTCAAATGCATTTCCTACCCCTTCCTCTCTCTCCCATCTCCTTCTACATCTCATAATATAGTTTTGGTCCCCGCAGTGATCTCCCACAGTGTCTTAGGCTTTGCTCATACCTGCTATTGAGCCTTTCAGTGAATATTTCATTTCAGTTATTATACTATTTAACTACAGAATTTAGGTTTTACATTTTTATATTTTTAAACTTTATATTAGATTTGGGTGAAAGTTTACAGAGCAAATTGCTTTTCCATTTAACAGTTCATATGCATTTTACTTTGTGACACTGATTGCAATTTGCTATCAGCACTCTTCTAACTTCCTTCCTTCCTGTGGTTTCTGTTTTCATTTGTCCTTCTTTCCTATCCCTTCCTGCCTTCTGAACTTTGTCCTGGGTAAATGCTGCCCTTTTGGTATTGTATGATTGCTTGTTCTAAGGAGTGTATACTTCTTGGATATTATTGTTCACCTTATAGGCCTATCTACTGCTTGGGGGTGAGTTCACTTCCAGAATTGAAGGATTTCTAAGGGCCATAGTCTTAGTGTTTTCATGTGTCTCTATCAGATCAGTAATATTTTAGTTTTTAAAAATTTCTATTGCTTTATTGATATTCTTTTTTACTTTATGAATCATTTCCCTAATTAAATTTCTGTATTTTTTCCTTTAGATTTTTTCTTCAAATATTTTTTGTTTCCCTTCTTTCTTTTCCTTCATGACTACAATTAAAATACATTAGGCCAGTTGGCATTGTCCTACATCTCCCTGATGTTATTTTATTTTTGGTATTGTTTTTCTCTCTATGGTACATTTTAGATGATAGGTACATTGATAGAGCTGCTGTTGAGTCATTGCTGACTCATGCCCACCTATGTATAACAGAACAAATTGTTGCCCAGTTATATGTCATCCTCACTATTGAATCTATCATTATGAGTTCATCATTATGGCTACTTGTGCCAGCCTCCCTCACTGAGGCTTTTTCAGTGGCCCTCTATTTCTCTAAATATGGTATCTTCCTTCAGCAGTTGATCCCCTTCATGATATTTCCTAAGCAAAACAGACGATGTTGTTGTGGTCCATAGTGTTTTTGTTGGCTATTTTTCAGAAATAGATCTACAAGTCTGTCTTCTTTGTCTGTAAGCTCCATAGAAACCTGTCCAGTATGGGTGTCCTTGTTTGCATTTAAAATACTGGTGGTATAGCTTCCAGCATCACAATATCCTAGGCATCATGGTATGGCAGATTGATAGATGATAGATAAGATAGATAGATCTTCTCATTCTTTATAGATCTTCTCATTCTTTATCTTTTCTCTACATTCTTGAACATATGCAGTATTGTCATTCTTCTTGTTCAAGTGCCATCAGTCAGTTCTGACTCATATAGTTAAGATAAATGTTTTAATAATCCTATCTACTATTTCTGTCCCCTGTGCCATTTCTGAATCTGTTCCTACCAATTTATTTTTCTTCTCATTCTTGAAAATATTTTTGTGCTTCTTTGCATACCTGGTTGACTGTATTATCTTTTGAATTTTACCTTGTTAGATATTACATATTGTATTTCTATAGTTCACCTTAAACTTTGTTCTGGTATTTACACATCATTTATTCCACATAAATGATGTGGAAATAGTTTAGTCTTACTGAGACATGGTACTGTAGGATAAGTACTAGACTGCTAAGTGCAAGGTCAGCAGTGTTGGTAGGCAATATCAGAGCAGCCTTTATTCTAGTAATGAATTGTCTCCAATACTGAGCCCATACCCTTCTGAGTACTCTGCACAATGCCCATAAATTCTGAAATTTTCTGTCTGGCTTGTGGAAACATGAAAAATTGCTTGGCCTCAGCAAGCATTGGAGATTATTCTCTCTGCTTCTTTTGAGTTGTTCATTACCCATTCTCAGTTACTTTTCTCAAAATCCTTTGCTCATAAATACTTAGCTGTAGATTCAAGAGGAATCTCTGGATATATTTATGTGTTACTTTTTTTATTTGGCACTTTGCTCTTTTACCTCTGTGTATCTTTTGCCTCTCTAGACTCTTAGCTCCATCTCCTAAACTCAATGAGACTGCCAGATTCCATATGGAATCTGTTTTCCTGTGGTCTCTATAGCCAGTGAGCTGGGGATAATCACAGTTTTTGTTTTCTTCTCTTAGGGATCACAGTCACCTGAGGTGCAGTGACCGAAAACAGTTGTTAATATTTGGTGTCGGTTTTTAATTGTTTCATGTTGAAGGGTAAACCTAGTCCTTGTTCCTTCCTTCATTGTGGCTGGAAAAAAGCTTTCTTACAAATTGTATATTTGTGGTAGAGAACAAATGATAAATAAATATAAAATACAACTTGCTTGTGGTACATTTTCATATATAGTCAAATATATTTATTTGTGATCTCTGGATTTTTTGTTATCCTTAGAAGGTTTTGTGTATATACCAAGATTATGTTGTTGTTGTTTAAGTGCCACCAACATTATAAGCATATTTAAATAAAATATATATTACTGATCTGATTTTGTTTCTTACATTAAGCTATTTGGCTCCTTTTGAATTTACTTTAATGAAGGAAATGTGTAATAAGATAAATTTAAGTGTAATGAGATGTGTCTGGATTTCCAATTCCTGTTTTACTCCATGATAAGTAAACCAATCCTTTCAAATTTTTTACTGTCATTCTGTTTGATACTGCTAGAACATTATACAGCATTATGTATAATTTAATTTGGATCAACTAACATGACTTAAATTTTCAACTCTTTAGTCACAGAACTATAGATAACTAAAAAGCAATTGCTAAAGAAGTTAGTTTTTGCTTTACTCATTATTATTGATGCTATTTAAAATACTAGTATCCTTAACTTTAATTATATTAGACTCGGGAGACCTGGTGTTGATTGTTATTGCCAACATGAAAGTGGTGCAGCTGTCTTGCAGCTCCAATTCTTAATCAATGAGGTAAGGGTTCTTTTTTTAAAACTATTTAACATATGAACACATTTCCTTAATTTATATAATATGTTTTATATCATGATTCTAAATATTTAAAAATATAAATGTATGCCTTATCATTCATAGTCATATTTTAAATAAAATATAGCATTCTTGAAGTTATCAATTCCTCAAATTTTAATGGAAAAGATTGTGTCAGACTATCCTTTTTAGCATAATTTATAAATTTATTATTTAAATGGTTAAGAACAAACAAAATTATTTCTGTTGGTTCATTTTACCTTTACTTCTATCCCTTCTCTTCCTACCAACTTAAATTTTATGATATAGACCTGACTTCATGTATTGTTAGTATTTTCCATGAAATAATCTATTTATTTACCTTTGGATTATTTTAGATGTATATATCTCCATATGCATTTGTATTTACAACTTGTATGATAATTGGTAGTCTACAATTTCACTGTTTTTATAGAACTATGATAATGAGAAGCACCTACAAACAAAGTGTGTCTTTATCAAACTCAGAAATGTTGCAGAGCTATCATTAGTTGAGGGCTGTTTTAAGACCTTTTGTTCTCAGACTTTTACAGTGGCACCAAAAAGAGGGAGGGAAAAAAAGTAAAAACAATAACATCAAGCAAAACATTTTTATTATAATAACTAGTCTTTAGTGTCTAGAATATCAACTTTTTTGAGGTCTCCATGGTACTCTGTAGTTCCCAGCTGAGGGGTTTCAGTCTTTTGTCTTCTGCATAGATGTGCATTGGCAGGCACACATTATTTCCATGAAATTAACTTTGGGATTGAGCCACTGAAAACTATCTGTAAGGCTTTAAATTTGCTGCTGTGCTACCTAACTTAGAATAAATTAAAACAAGACTTCAACCTCCTTGCATTATTTATATAATGTATTCTGAACTAAGGAGCCCTGATGACATACTGGGTTACCCGTTGGGCTGCTAATTACAAGTCATCAGGTTGAACGAACTCACCGACAGGCTGCTCCATACAGGAAAGAGACTTCCTGATCCTGTGAAAATTTACAGCCTCAGAAACTCTCCATAGGGTTGCTATGAGTGGGAATCGACTTGATGAAAGTAGGTTGGCATTTCCAACCTACTAGCTACTCTGTGGAAGAAAGGTATGGCAGTATGCTTCTGTAAAGTTATAGAGCCTTGGAAACCCTATGGTACAGTTCTGTTTTGCCATGTATGATGGCTGAGTTAGAATCAACTTGACCCACCTCACACTTAGCTTTCAAATTTACTAGCTTCTTACCCTGTGACCAGTTTTCTAGTTACAATTTTAAATCTCTTTACAGATCGTCATAAACTTTGCTTCTAGTAGATTCACTTTGCTTTTGTAACTGAACCTCTATTAGAAACTCTGGTGATGGTATTGCTTTCGTGTGTTTGGAATATCTGGTGACAATCAGTGGTCTTGTTCATTTTCCTCCAATGATAAGTTAACCTCGCAGTTTTAGATAGATTCATATAGATAGAATTAGTAATACTGAGTTCCTCCATAGATTTATTCAGCTGTTATACTAAGATTTTATCGAATCTGTGCTGCTTTAAAGGAGCTCTGGTAGCATAGTGATTACGAATTGGGCTGCTAACTTCAGGGTCATAAGTTCGAAACTACCAGCTGTTCTGCAGGAGAAAGATGAGGCTTTCTGCTCCTGTAAAGATTTACAGCCTCGGAGACCCTGTACAGGGTTGCTGTGAGTCTGAACCGACTCCATGGCACATTATAACAACAATGCTGCTTTAATTGCAGTTCTTTGGCATGTTACATCTTTTGGGTAGTACATAACTATCTACTATAAGGATGTTTTTGAAATTTCATACAAGTACTATCCTAATCATATTCCAAGTGAATTGTTACTTTCCTAAGAAGTGAGATTAGAATGTAATATCTGGAAAAAATCAATTGTAGTATCAAGTACTTTAAAGCAATCATAATCCGTTTGTATCTATGAAGTATTTGGAAACACTGTACTAATAAAATAAGCAAACACACACAAAATCTCTCAAGGCATGCATAGGATAAACTCATGGTATTAAAGTATCTATGAGTTTTAGTTTTAAATGTGTATATCTATGTATACCTATTTGCTCATGTATATGTAAATATGGAAATTATTTAAAATTTTAGACATTATTTTATGGATATACTCGCTGATTATGATTTTTAAAGCTGTTCTCTAACACTTAAATCACATATTTACAGCCAAAGAAAACCATCATAAACTATTCTTCATCTAGAAATTATTATGGATGGGAATGGCATGTAGGTTCCTATTCTCTCTTAGTACTTCTAAAGAAGAAAATATTCCAGGGATTCCCAGATGGCTCTTCTCTTAGTGTTGAAATTATGAACAAGTTTGCTATCTATGATTAATGTTGTAAACTATGAAAGATTACTTGTAACACAGTACTTGGACAAGTATGAAAAACATTTTATATACCTTAGAACCACCATGGTTCTGCAAAGTTACATTTACAGAACATATTTAATATCCAGAGCAACATCAGGCCCTGTAATAGGGCACACATTTACATTTTAAGCTGAGAAACTGTAGTTGTGGTAACAGTTTTGCCATAACATAAAGTGATCTTATTTAATTTAGTAAAATAAATAAATTAAGCTTATATGAAGTAATATGTGTCAATTCGTTTTCTGCTCTTATGTTTTCTGCTACACTAAAAGGCAGGAAACATTTTATTGTATTTGAAATAAGATATATTTGTATTTGATGATGCTATGTAAAACCCACCACCACTGAGTCAATCCTGACTCATAGAGACCCTATAGGACACAGTAGCCCCATAGGATATCTGAGGCTGTATATCTTTATGGAAACAGATTGACTAATTTTTCTCTCACAGATTTGAATCACTGACCTTTCAGTTAGCAGTCCAACCCTTAACCCACTGCACCAATAGAGTTCCTTGAAGTTATTAAATTCTACTTAGAGAAATATTTACTTTTATGATAGATCTTTGAAAATAGCAGATAAAGACAACTGAAATGTAAAAAGCAAACTAAATTATGCATATACCAAGAATATATATATTTTAAAGTTTTGTTGTGAATTGAGTGATAGTTTACATGGGAGACCATCGATTTTACACCATTGTTTCATTGCAATGATTACAATCTCCTCCATGCATCATCATTCAACAGTATTTGTTTCTATTCCCTCTGTTTTTGGGGGATGGGTGGGAGGTAGGACACAATGTACACAAAACACTCAGGCAACATTCTGGAAGGCTGCCTCCTGGTCACCAGCACATAGGCTTTCTTTCCATGAGTCTATAGTCCTCAGCTGCTCTCTCTCTCCATGTCTTCATCTCTGCCTCCATCTCTGGTGTCGCTGCCTTCTCTGGATAGGGTCCCACATTCCCCTCCTGCTCTTCTCCCTTGATGGTCCTAAGGCCCTCTGTTTTTGGACTGTAAGATTAACTACTCCCCCTTTTTGTTAAAAAACTTCTACCTTTACAATTATGATAGTCGCAGTTAGTCATGATAACAATTCCAAGTGTAGATTTTTAAGGGAGAATATTTACTTGCCAACTATACAAAAAATACTTGAAAACAGAGATTTTTAATAGGACCTGATTATAGTTTATGCAACTAGGTTGGATATTATCTTAGGCCAGGTTTTCTAGAGAAGTAAAACCAGTGAAACATTAGATACACACACACACACATATACACACATATAATGTAGTGGTTACGAATTGGGCTGTGAACCTCACTGTCAGCAGTTCGAAACTACCAGCTGTTCCGTGGGAGAAAGATGAGGCTTTCTGCTCCCGTAAAGATTTACAGCCTTGGAAAACCCTGTACA